ACTATCTATTGTTAATGATAAAAGCGATTTAGTGTTAATTTTCTTTTAATAAAATTAATAAGTTATGAAATCAAGTTACACGAACACGTGAGTTAAGTGTGTTATGAGATGAGAAATTATTCGCTTTTATTACGTAACTTACTATTAAAACAATGGTAATTATCAAAAAAAAGAAAAAGGAAATTTAAACTCCAAGTGGACAAAAACATATTATTGCAATGCAATACAAAAACCGAAAGCATGCAACTAGGCCCAATGAAATTTCTGCACTTCTCTAGGCCCAAGAAAGGGCTTAGTATGAACTATGAAGCAACTACTTCAAGGCCCAAAAAAGAAAAAAAACTAATAAAATATTTTGGATTAATACTTATTCGTCTTATTTTCACAAAAAATTAAAAAAAATGATAAAAATTATTTTAATGTATGTTTTAAAAATAAAATAATTTATTTTTTTAATAAAAATTTATTAAAATAATATAATTTTAAAATAATTTCCCTCTTAATTTTGGAGAGAGGTAAGACTGATTTTTCAAATATTTTTGCTACATAAGATCAACAATTTCCAACCATTACAAGAAAAAGAACGGACTATATAAAAAGTCAAAAGTACCCCCACAAAAGCTAAACGACGTGTTGTCAAACGATTGGCTACAACCTTGAAAGTCAATGGTTGCACGGAATCCATGTTCAACTCAAAGTCGGTGATAACAACCTTGCCTCGTATAAAAATCGTATGCGTACAAATTTTCTACACTTCATCGACTGGTTCAGATTCCTCCCTCCCTCCATCCGATTAACTTTTAGCCTCCCTTTAGCAGCCTTACACAACCTCGCCGTCTCAAAAGTCTCTTTCGCCGGCGATTCAATCTAGGGTTTCCTTCAACAGCAATGTCGAACTCCAAAAGAAAATCATCATCAGGAAAAACTGAGTGCACCGTCTATGTAGGTTAGTTTCTACGATTCCTGCTCTTTCCTTGATTATTAGTTTTTTAAAAATTTTTGACGTTTCCTCCTGGATCCGCATTTGATTTTGCTGCGCAATTAGTTTTTCTACGATTCCTGCTATTTTCTCGATGTTTTTTGAAAATTTTTTTAACATTTTCTCCTGGATCTGCATTTTGATTTTGCTGCGCAATTAGTTTTTCTGTGTTTATGTGTGTTGAATTAGTGTTGTTTTTATCAACTGGCTTCTCCGGCTGCCGTTTTCTTCCTCGGAAGGCCGCCGAAAAACGGCAGTCGGAGGCAAGGTGTAGGGTTCCGTCGGAGTTCGAATGGATATATATTTTTTTACTCCGTTTAATTTGTTAGGATTTTATAATCTTATTTTATTTTCCTCCATTTCAATTTTATCTACTTCTTAGTTCATTTCTGAATAATTTAAATCTTGTATATTTGATTGGCTTAGGTAATTTGGACGAGAGGGTTACCGATAGGGTTCTGTACGACATTCTAATTCAAGCTGGGAGGATTTTCGATTTGCATATCCCTCGTGACCGGGACACCGGCAAGCCCAAAGGATTTGCGTTTGCAGAATATGAAACTGAAGAGATTGCAAATTATGCTGTGAAGCTATTTTCTGGCCTTGTCACTCTGTATAATAGAACATTGAAATTTGGGGTGCGTTCACATTTTGCTCGCTAAATCACATACATGCGATGAGCTAATTAAGAGATTGCAGAGATTTGAATTTATTACATATACTTTGTTGGAGTTTTGTAAGTTCTTTTATAACTGCTATGGTATCATGTAAAATTTTGCTTATGGGATCTGATGGTATCTGATAACAAAGTAGCAACGGCAGTCATTTGCAGAGTTTTGCTAGCTCTTTTATAACTCTGCTGTAGTATCTCTTCTTTTGATTTCTGCATGTTAAATTTTATCGTATGGTCTGCGGTGATCTGATTCCAAAGGTCTTTATCCTTATTGACATGATTTTTGACCAACAGATTTCTGGGCAAGACAAGCAGCCCTCACAAACCCCTCAAAGTGAAAGTGCTGTCACACCATCTTCAAATTCATCTCATCAGTCAAGGCCTGGTACTGTTCCTGTAAATGGCAAGGAGGCCAGTGAGCACTCAATGAGGTTATCAACAAGTAGTGGGGTTTCAGCTTACCCTTCTCATTATGGTTCACCTTACCATGAAGGTGATGTCCTTTTATCATTTGCTTTTGGTTAATTTTGTTATGCTAGTCTTTTTTTTTTTTTTTTTTTATTTAGTGTGAAGTAATTGGATCTTCGAGTTTCAAATTTGCTGAATGATTCTTTTTCATCCAGTGCCGCCTCCCCCTGGGGTAACTCACCACTCTAATGGGTATGGATCACAATACAATGGTTACAATTATGAAAACAGTCGAAGTGTTTTTGGGCCAAGATTGGATAGCATTAGTCGCACTAGGTCATTTCGCTATGAAACACGTAACCCAATATCTTATCCTTACTGATATTTGGTAGAATTACACAATGAAGAAAACTCTCACCTATTCTCCTGTTATTGGTGTACCATTGTAATCATTCAGAGAAATAGGTGTACAGTTGTAGATAAGCGTAAGGGGTTGCAGTCAAGTAAGTTATAGTTGTAATTTATTCTCTAGTTATGACCTGCTCTTGTCTTCTGCATGCTAGTCATTGACTTGCTAGAGCACTCTTCATGGTTTGTCATTTCCTTTTATGTATTGTACTTGGTTTTTTTTTTTTTTCTGCCTTTTAGAATGGATAATATTTACTTGTTTGTCCATAGGTTGGTTACTTGAATTGAAATAACAAACTAAGTGGTTGCTAAGTAAGTAATTATGTTCAACATGTAAGTGCTGCCATTTTATTCATCATATATAGACATGAAAAGTGGCTTTTGTTTTAGACATGAATCTGTTCTTCCATTCATAATGTCTGTATTGTATAGTGTTGCTGTTGCTTCTATTTCTGTTCAGCATTTTTTTGGGCATTCTTACATTAGTTATTTCTGGAATGTTTGAGACTTTTTTGGATCTTTAATATCTGCAACTGGGCCATTGCATGAAACAATATGGTGCATTTTCATGTTTAATTTAATTGGTTAAACTTTAAAGTGGGTTGATCTGATCACATATGAAACAATTTAAATTGATTTCCCTTTCTTCTTAGGTCCTCAATTAATGCTATCTGATTTTCATTTCAATGTCTTATGTTTTTCATCTCGTCATGTACGACTGCATTTCCTCTGTAGCATTCATGCCTCTGCTTCATTTATCTTATGAAAATGTTGTCTACTTATTAATCACCTATAGTTGGTTGCATATAGAATTGGGCTAAAACCAACTTTTAACTGCTCATCTTACAAAATTAGTAGGTTTTAGCCCCTAACCTTATAATATGACACTTTAGTCCTTTACCTTACAAAGTTGATAGGTTTTAACCTCTCACCTTACGAAGTTTGTAGGTTTAAGCTCACCTTATATTATGACACTTTTAGCCTTTTATCTGTTCGAATTGAAAAAAATAACCCTTATTTAATATCAGGTTATAATGTTTTATTAGTTCTGTTAATTGACTGTTAGCATCCATTAGCATTCCGTTAATAGAACTAACAAATAAAATTAAATTTAAATTTCATGTTTTTTATAACAGAATACTAACGGATGTTAACAGTCAATTAACAAAACGTTATAACCTGATGTTAGGTGAGGGTTATTTTCTTTAATTCATATTTGTGAAGGGCTAAAAATATCATAATATAAGGTAAATGGTTAAAACCTACCAACTTTGTAAGGTGAGAGGCTAAATGTTGGTTTTTGCCTATAGAATTGATGGTCTTGTATTGTATCCAATTAGGGGATTTCCCTTCCTTCATGGTAGGTCCAACACTATGAGAAGTCATGTAGCACATACGCTAAGTGTAGAATTGATGCTGAATTGATGACAACAGACAAATGAGGTGCCTGTGAGAAATTTAGCGCAAGATGGTTTTCTGTGGGATCAAACGTAACCCTTTTGAGTCTGGTATTTATCAAGCAGTTCAGAAATATAGCATTAAACAGACCAGGATTGCAAAAATAATACTCATTTAGAAAGTTAGAAGATGTGGACAAGGTGTAGTCTCAACAGCGAAGGGTCCAACGTTAGAGTTGTAAGTAGCGGATAAGAACTTAGCAAGCCAACATGTTGCCAAGGTCCTGCAAAATTTATAAAATGGCAAAATATGTTAACTGGGATTGTCCAAATTGATTCAGTTATGGTAAGTAGTTTCTGGTTTCGTGTAAATGTCTCCTGCAAGCCACCGGCTAGGATTTCTCTCCAATTCTTCAAATGTTTTGGCATGAACTCTAATGGTTATTTCATGTTAGAGTTTATTAACTTTTAATTTATATATATAAGCTCATTGGTTCAAAATGTGCTTTAGACATGGTCCCACAAAACTGTAGGGTAAAAGTTATAGTTTCAGGCTTAATCAAGTCTTCTATCAAAACTATGCACACACAAAAAAATTTAAAAAAAAACACTGTTTTCTATCAAAACTACTTCTTTCAACAAGAGACGAATAATTCTTTTATCCTTTTGTTTAATAAACTATGTTTCAATCTCTTTATTCTTTTTCTAAGGGTGTCTATGAAAATAAAATTATCCTGACGGGGAGAGTACTAATTTTTTTTGAGGTTAAACTCTTGTACATTATTTTCATATTATTGAATTTAAATTCAAATTCACTATTGATTCGTAAACAATTTTGTTGACAAAAAATTCTGTCAAGGAGATTTATTTTACCTACCCAAAAGAAAAAGAAAAAAAAAACATTATTTCTGCTATTTTGGTTTCTTGGTCTTTTGATTCGTATGGACTAGAAGCCAATAGATGTATAGAGAAACGATCGAATGAAAAGACAAAAGACGATTTATATCAAAAGAATTAAACTCGAGCCTTTTTAATGAAAAAGGAAAATAACTGAACCTTCAGCATGCGTACTCACCCCTCACCCTCCTCCCAATTATGAAAAGGGGTGTTTCGAGTTTGTTTTTTGAGTTGCCTCTATAAGCAATTCCTTGTTGCACAAATAAATATCAAATCCCTGTAGAAGGAAAGCTTCCACTTTAGATGACAAATGAAGGTAACTTGTTTTTTACGTTTAAATTGATCTTCTATAAATTATTTTCTTCATGTATCTTTGTGAACCAAACTCTAAGCTAAGATCACCAGATTGTAAAAATGAATCCAGCAATGGGAAAATGTTTAGGAGATAAATTTAAAAGATATTAGCCTTGATCTCATTCTTTGTTTTGAAGGCAGAGATTTAATAAATCATCACTAGATGTCTGGCTTGTTTATATGCATGAAAACTGTGGAGGAAAGCAGTGGTTTGATATGAATCATCATTCTTTTTATTCCTTTTTCTTAGGTTTAGAAAGAGAGGAACCCTGTTGCACAGCTGGGGACTCGTTGCGACCTTGAGAAGCTGCTAATAATTGTTGAGGAGGCCTGCAACCTGCATTTGAGATATGCATTTCTAAGAGTTGAAGACCAATAAACAAGACTCGGCTATCTCCTCTGATAGATAAATCAAATGCCTTTTATCTTTTTTTCGATCAATTTTATTGTTTTCTTAGAAATAAAGGAGGCATCACAATGGTGTGATCGAGGAATAATATGATGTGTTCCTGTTAACTTTGGGTGTACACAACTTGCAAAGGAAGCTACTGCGGAGTGGAACTGATTGGCTTCCTAGTAGCTCAGGTGAGTTCAGCATTCAAATTTGCTATAAATTGGTGAGGAAGGGAAGGAGAGTTGTATGGGCTGGTTGTAATGTACCTATGCATAATTTTATGCTTTGGTTCTTGTATGGGAAAGGCTTAAAGCCAAGGCCTTTCTTGTTGAAAGAGTTATGCAAATTGACTCAAATGTGTACCTTGTGTTGAACTAAACACGAAAGATATAAGATGTTAGTCTTCCGGGAATAAAGTATGATGGGCATCTGGTTTTTTTAATGTGCACATTTAGTACTAAGGTCTGGAGCTGTTTTGCAGCATTATGCTGTGATAAGGCATCCTAGTTATAGAGAAAATTGATTTTAATAAGAGGTTGATTGGATTAGTTCCAACTTTTTCCTAAATAAACCACCCGTTTCTTTTGGTGGCATGGAGCTCCCATTTTAGGGATAGAGACTAAAATCTCAGTATCTACATGAAGATACTATAGTCAAACAGCCCACGTTCCTTAAGCATTAGAGCTGCCTGCAAAGTACGCCAAGGGTCCAACAATGGCAGCATTGATGTATGTTGCAGGTTCTGAGTGACTGTAATCTGATCGATCATCAGGAAACCCATCATTCTGATTCGGACCTCCAACTATGGCTCCTACCAGGATGTTAGGATTAGGGTTTGCCGTGTAGAAGAATGGCTCAAAACTGTCACAACCTATGGACTGAGGGTGCCTTGCTACTGAAGGCAAGGAAGATCCTCTGTGGTGGACTCTCTTCGGAAAAGTTGGCCCGAACCCTACCATGTATGACATCCTAATTGGATTCACCCCAAGTATGTAATCAATCTGAGAATGTTACAAAAAAAAATTAGTCCTAAACAATCAGAAATTAAAGAGAAAAGGGGTCAGGAGAAAAATCATGAAACTTGCCTGTCTTTTTGCAATGGCTGTTAGATAATTTGGGGTGACCAAGAGGCTGCCACAATCAAAGGTGCTTTTTGTAGCTCTCATGTACTTAGCATAAGTGGTGAGCAAGAATGAGATTGATGTAACATACTGGAGGTTGCTCTGAGGCATCTTGTACATTAGCCCTCCTGTATGTGGGGCCAAAAAAAAAAAATCAGATTCCTTTTCTAAACAAATTTTCCCCCTTTGCATGATTAGGGTAATCCCAACCAAATTTCTTTTGAAAATATCGAACAAATAGTAGTATGAAATAATTTGACACGACACTATATGATAGAGCAAAAAGAGCAGTTTGGACTTACCCTGTGTATATTGGGTAGTTGAAGACGGTGAGTTGGGTATGATCTTGCACATGAAGTTTTCAGCTTCTCCTTTGAATGATTGAAAATTTTGATCTTTGAGGAGCAATGCTCTCTGAGAGAGAATTTTTGTTAAAAAAGGGGGATTAAAAAAAAAAAAAAAAAAAAAAAAAAGGACGTTGATAATAGTTGAAAAATTTTACCCTAGCTAAGAGAACATGAGCACCAGCATATTTGTTGTCCCAGCTGAAGAGGTCTGGTTGATCATCAGCTCCCAATGATTTCAAGAGATTGTAATAAGAAACATCATTTGTTGCCCTAAACAGCCATGCAGCTCCCCATAACAACTCATCCTGCAATAAAAAATACAATGCCATTTTAAACAAAAATGCAACCTTTTTCATGAAAAGTCCAATGAATAGAGCTACTGAATTTGAGTCTCAGATCATAGAAAGGTCTTCATGTAATGTTGGAGTCTCTAAAATTTAAATTGGGCAAGAAATTAAGAAAAGAAACTGGGCCGATCTTATATGGTTAACCCAGAAACTTAGGCCCATCATACCTTATACCCAGAATATGAGCAGTAAAATGGGCAAACTGCGGATCCAAGCTTGTCACTGTAAGCCCCTTGGTATTGGACTGCAAACTGCAGAACCTTCTTCGCCGTTTTCAGCAGCAAGGCCGAGTATCTCTGATCGACTTTTCGGAAAACCAACGAAGCCGCCGCCAAAGCCGCAGCAGTTTCGCCGGCGACGTCCGAGCCCGGGTTGCTGGGCGAGACATAATACACGGATCGGACGGTGTCCATGTCCTCGGGTCTCTCCCAGCACTTGTGGTCAGCATTCGGGTCACCCACGCCAACGTAGAGCCTGCCGGGCGTGGAAGTGGCGCACTTGAGGAGGTAGTCGGTGGCCCAGCGGATTGCGGCCCTGGCTTCCTGTAATTGGGGGCCCATTCTCCTGCCGTACTCAAGAGTGCTCCACGACAGCATTGTGGTGGTGAAGGCCATCGGAAAGTTGAATTTGACGTTGTCGCCGGCGTCATAGTATCCTCCGGTTAAATCTACCTGAAAGTGAAAGATGTAAGCTTTGGGAAGTGGGAAAATTTATGTGCTTTTCGTACACGCAAGACCAAGGCCAAATAAATTAAGCAAGAAAACTAGTAAGATTCCAAAAAAGTGTGCACCGAAGGCATAAACAAATCTCATTTTATGTAGTAGCAAAAATTTTTTAAATGCAATGGCAAATTTGATTGGTTATTTTTAGAAATGGAAAAAGAATCGTGTTTTTTTAGTCCAGACAATTTAAATTATGAAAATATTAAAATATTTAATTTATTTAAATAATTTTACAACTCATAATGCATGTAGTAGTAATAGAAAAAATCATTTCTGATAAAAAAAATACAATTAAAATGTTTGTCATTCGAATTAAAATAATTTAAAAATTACAAAGCATTACTATTGAAATGGAAGATGAGAGCCCTTTGATATTATGGGTGGGTCCCTCTATTTGGTATCGTAGAGAAAAATGATATGGCAATTTCAATTTTCAAAGCCTATAATAATGTTGTAAATGAAACATGTGAATAAACAATGTGAGAAATATGATAATGAATGAGCTCAAATCACACTCTACAGTTTTTTCCTTGAATTCTGAGAAAAGGAAAAAAGGTAAAGGTAAGAGAGACATACTCCGGCGAGCCGACCATCGGAGAGGCCGGAATTGGACCTCCAAGTAATTTGCTGGTTAGGGGGGAGCCTCCCTGACCTCTGACCTTGGAAGAACAAAAGGGACTTGGCTAGGGCGTCTCTGTAGTTGGGGTTGCCATGGACACTGTCCAAGAAGAGTAACAAGGACAATAGGAGGAAGAATGCTGCTCCCTTGGCCTTGGCCATTTTAGTCTATGGGTTTTGGCTCAACAACGGAGTGGGTTTTATATAGGAGAAATCAAAGTCACGATATCACTATGTGGCGTTAATTAAGGCTTTTCCACACCAGACCATTATTATTTATTCTCGTTAGTCGTTAATTAGGATCCTTGTGGAGTTTTTTTTTTTTTTTTATTCTTTTTCTCCCCACGATTTTTTAGGAAAAAAGAAATGAAATTAGGGTTCGTTTTAAATCCGTGACTATACTATTTTAGCAACTAATTGCTTTTTGTAAGCTCAATAGGGTAGCTCAACTTTTAAGAACTTGAAATTTTAAATTAAAAATATCTAATTTGAATTTTGGATCAAGTAATGAGGGATTAGGGAGTAAGAAAAGGCCACCCCCTTATAGCCCATTATCATACGTACAAAAAAAAAAAAAAAACTAATTACTTTTTGTCCCCAAATCCAAATGGAAAAAATAACTCCTTGTCTTTTTTTTTTTTTAACTAACCTCTCAATAAAATTAAATCGCATCGGACTCCATAAAAAAAAAATTCTCTCAACACTTGTTTCTCTATTTATAAAATTTAAAATCAAAACCTTATTTAAGAGAAAATTAAGTTCTTTCCACTTAAACTAATAAATTATTGATATAACTCTATCATTTTTGTAGTTGTTCAATTGTCCTAAACTCATAATCCTTTAATTTTACATAAATTAATTTAATCCAATTTAAATGGAGTATCTTATAATTCAATGAGATGGAAATATCAACATATCTATATATTTAATATCACATGAATATTGTAAGATTTTTATTATATGGAATGAAATTGGTGGGTATAACTTCATATCCTAATTGATTATTGCGTGGGTCATGGCATGATTTTGTAATTCAACAAAAGGAAAAACATGTTTAACCTTGTCCCATTGTACTTTTACCTAATCTCTTTGTTTTCATATAGTAGATTCTTCACAAGAATGACAAGCAAGCAAGCAAGAAATTATCAATGTGAGAAATTGGTTCTAAATTTCTAATAATTCAAAAATATTCAAGTCAAATTAAGGAGGCGTTTGATACAAAAGATTTGATATTAGTAGATTAAACTAATTGAAAGAATAAAATATTTAAATTATGTAAATAATAATAATTATCAACTACCAAATGTTTCATATAAATTATCTATTGGATTTAAGTTACTAATTCAAACACCCCTAAATGGGTAGAACTATTGCGTCAATGCAATGGTCTATGCATGAGAATACAGGAGAGGATTATTAGTATGACAGTTGATGGATTGATGCAGTGGACGGACGTTGCGCACAACATGGCTTAGTCAATGGAAGTAGAAAGAGGGAACCGAACTGCCTAATTTAGGCAAAAACGAGAAAGGCATCCCAATTCGTGGAAATTTGGTCATCTGGTTTTACGAAAAGTGGAGGCGTGAATGGCGCGTTTCATGGCATCATAATCCTTCCCCCTTGGATCGCGCAAACCTATATCGGCGCCCGTAATCTTGTGTCTTTTTTTTCCCCCCTTTTCTTGCTACTTCGTGACCAACACTTTGAATGATTAAATTCTTTGATTGGATTTCATTTTCTCGGGATTCTTTGACCTACTTGTTTCCTTTTTCTTTATTTATTTCTCCCTTTATGTCAATATTTATCGGAGAAATCATGTAGAAAAAATTTGAATTACAAGACACCTTTTATGTTCAGTTTTTTTATTTGATTTTTTTAAAGTGTTGTGAAATTGCATGGTATTCAACTCTATTACACTAGTTAATTCCCCGGGCATCGCTCGGACCGTGAAATGAAATAATATATATTTAAAAATTTAATATAAACTAATATATTAATAAAAAAGTAATTAATAAAATATTATTAAAATACATTTATTTGATTTTTTTAAAGTGTTGTGAAATTGCATGGTATTCAACTCTATTACACTAGTTAATTCCCCGGGCATCGCTCGGACCGTGAAATGAA